AACATGGTGGAGGGAGAATACCGACCCCCATTAGTTATCCTCTGACCTCCACATGTGTGCTGGACATGTATGTGCTCCCCCCACAAATAAATGTAATACAAAGTTTAAATAAATATCATAAAAAATATCTTCAGTGCTGTTTTCTTCACTGAATGCAACAAATTCTGATCGCCTTTTCCTAACCAGGCAACGGTCATGCAAGAGTGAAACAAAGGGACGGGAAGACGACAAGAGTTTGGAACCCCAGCACCCACATAAAAAGCCAGGTAGGGTAGTATGAGCCAGTAATCCAAGCAGTGTGGAAGCAGGGACAAGAGGATCCCTAAGGCTTTCCAGCCAACCACTCCAGCTGAGTCCAGTGAGAAACTGTCTCAAATATAAGGCAGAGAATCACAGAGGAAAACATGGGCCACCAACCTCTGGCCTCCACATATGTGGACATGCAGATCCACACACATACATACAACACACAAACACACACACACAAACACACACACACACACACACACACACACACACACACACACACACACACATAAGTAAATAAAAACAGTTTCTCACTGAGTGTGGTAGCCATCTGCAATCCCAGAACTCAAGAGGCTGAAGCAGGAGGATCATGTATTTGAGGCTACCTTCTGTTACACAGTGAGACCCTCTTTCAACAACAACAACAAACACCCTAAAGCCCACAGGAAGGCTAAAGCAATCATAATTTTCACACACTATAGTAGAAGTATCTACAGAAAGGAGATGGCTTCGGCACAAGTGGAGGAGGGAAGTGAGGTACTGGTCGGGGGGAGTCATCGGAAGGAGGTTATCAGTGGGGCTTTCATGGTGATGGTGCTTAGATCCGAGTCCGCCAGTGACGGTGGGGTGAGGTGTTAGGAAAGATGTGGAAGTGTGAGATGCAGCATTAGATTATAGAAAGTGCAAACAGAATTTTCAAAATTACACTCTACCAGAAGCCCATGACATTTCGATGGCTGTGGTTGCTTAAAACCTCGATCCACTCATAACACAGAGCAAGGAGACACCACCTAGAAGCCAAGTCTCTATTAACCTCTACTCTCGGGAATGTGGAAAAGGACTCAAAAATGGCTACCACGAAATCCACAGACTGAACTAAGTAACAGAAGCCAGCAGCAAGAAAACTGCATGATAAGGGACTATTTCGTGCAGGGGCGTTGAGTTCTGTGCAGTTTAAAATCCCCCATAAGAGCGAAACAGAGAACAAATGCCCAGTAGCCTATGGCACGACCCAGAGGCACTGGGATCGTTAGTTCTCTGCTGTGCACCTTTTTTATAAAGCAGGGAGCTGGTTTAAATACACACACTTGGGACTGGAGAGATGTCTCAGCAGTTACGAACACAAGCTGCTTTCTCAGAGGACCCCGGTTCTGTTCCAAACACCCCTTTGTTGGTGCACAACCACCTGTGATTCCAGTCCCAGGGCACCCGATAACTTCTTTGACCTCCATCAGCACCATGGGCACCAGGCATGCATGTGGCACATATACATACATGAAGACAAAACACACATACACATAAAATAAATAAGTCTAAAAGACACACGCTTAAAAGGATCTTTCCAGGCGGCGGTGGCACACGCCTTTAAACCCAGCACTCGGAAGACAGAGGTAGGCAGATCTCTCTGAGTTCAAGGCCAGCCTGGGCTACAGAGTGAGTTCTAGGACAGGCCCCAAAGCTACACAGAGAAACCCTGTCTCAAAAAGCCAAAAAAAAAAAAAATCTTTCCATATGATTAAAGTGAAGGCTTTATATTAAGTGAGGAATCCACCATTACTTCTGAAAGTCACCCTTGTGAATTGCCTGTTCTCTTAACCACTCCAGATGAAAGAGATGCTATGGCAGGATTAGTCACCAATAGCCACACAATTAGTGATACCTCACTCTGGGCTTGGAAATAGCAAAGTCACTGACTGTGAGGAAATAAATGTTATAACTTTAGTTAGACTATCTCCTCATTATTACATGGCAGATTTCTTTTTTTAATGAAAAGGTGATACAGCCCAAGATTCCTATTTTAAAGGCCTATTTCATCTGACATCTTCACACAGAGAAAACTTCCCGAAAACATTCGTTGATGAATGCAAAGATAAATGAATGAAAAAGTGACTTTATCTACTGAAAGAACACAGTGTTGTCTTGCATTTCACAATAACTGTAGTATGTTACTCTGACCACCAAATTCGGCAGAAACAAAGGTATTTCCTAAGGCATTTTACTTCTTACATTAGTGAGAGAGAGGGATGATACAGGCCAAGTCTCTGTAACACCAAATATCAAAATAGCACAAAGTATTTCTTTTTTTTTTTTTCTTTTTTTTTTTTTTTTTTTTTTGAGACAGGGTTTCTCTGTGTAGTTTTGGTGCCTGTCCTGGATCTCGCTCTGTAGACCAGGCTGGCCTCAAACTCACAGAGATCCGCCTGGCTCTGCATCCCAAGTAGTGGGATTAAAGGTGTGTGCCACCACCGTCTAGCCAAAGCATTTTATTTTAAATATAAAAAAAATGAGCCAGTGTGGTGCTGTATGTCCTGTAATCTTACCGCTCATGAGGCTACAGCAGGAGGATTGCCATGAGCTTGAAGCCAGCCTAGGCTATATAGTGAGTTCAAGGCTAACCCTGCATTATCTCAACAAACAATCAAAATTAGCCAAATTAGTCTAATTAGTAGAGATTATCTTTAGTTATTTTACTACATCAACTATTCTATCTTCAAAGAACTAACGTTAAAATGGCCAAGCTCACACTATTAACCTTTTACATTTTATTTTTATCTAAATGCTTAAGTTGTGTATTAAATATACTATATGATATCTATCTCAATGTATCTATTAATTTTTTGTTTGTCTGTTTTTTGAGACAGGGTTTCTCTGTGTAGCTTTTGGAGCCTGTCCTGGAACTCACTCTAGACCAGGTTGGCCTCGAACTCACAGAGATCCGCCTGCCTCTGCCTCTCAAGTGCTGGGTAAAAGTGTGTGCCACCACCACTCGGCCTATTAATTTTAATCTAGCCACCCAAATTTACAACTTCTTTAAGTCACCAACCTATAGTCTACACATTCTTTTCCTACATATAGTCTACAAATGTTGAATTATACAAGTTTGCATTCCTTTCTTCTTCAGAAAGTCTTCATCTGTCTTAGTGCAAAGCCTTGTAGGACATCCATATCCCAGAATACATTATTTATATAGTGTCTGTATTTAATCCTAAATAATTAATGAGAAAATAACATTTGCACAGAAATACTCCACTTGGGGGCTTACATTATTCTTAATGAATGACATGGCTAGGACTAGGAAAATGGTGTTGGAGAACTAACTAGTAACTTCATGGAAAGAGATTATTTGTAATAATTAAGATATGAGAGCTTGTTTTAAAAATAAAATTTCCTGCCGGGCAGTGGCGCACGCCTTTAATCCCAGCACTCGGAGGCAGAGGCAGACGGATCTTTGTGAGTTCGAGGCCAGCCTGGTCTACAGAGCAAGATCCAGGAAAGGCACAAAGCTACACAGAGAAATCCTGTCTCAAAAAACTAAAAATAAGGCCGGGCGGTGGTGGTGCACGCCTTTAATCCCAGCACTCGGGAGGCAGAGCCAGTCGGATCTCTGTGAGTTCGAGGCTAGCCTGGTTTCCAAAGCGAGTTCTAGGAAAGGCGCAAAGCTACACAGAGAAACCCTGTCTCGAAAAAAAAAAAAAAAACTAAAAATAAATTAATAAATAAATAAAATAAAATAAAATTTCCCATAATATACACAATACCAACTTTTTTCTCTGTTCTTGAATAAAGAAACTTTTACATGTAAAAAAATTACACTTCAATGTCAAAAAACTTTGGTTTTTTTTTTTAAGCCTTAACAATTAAAAATATTAGAAGCATATATATTCTTTTTTTTTCATAAGAGAAAATGTTTGAAGCATCATCCAACAGTGGACATTTAAAATTTTCTGTTCACTGCATTGCAGTTTGCCATTTTACTGAGAGAAAAAAAGTAAGTTTACATGATCAGAATGAAGAAGAAGAAGAAGAAGAAGAAGAAGAAGAAGAAGAAGAAGAAGAAGAAGAAGAAGAAGAAGAAGAAGAAGAAAGAGGAGGAAGCAAGCGGCACTACAGCCAGTACCCATGCAAAACTGAGAACTGAGGGCTGTGTGTGCTCACATTTAACAAAAACTTTACCATCCATAACTGTCCCAAACTATTCAATCATATTTCATAGCTTCACATACCCTGGAACTAAATGAAGATGCCAAAGACCAAGGCTCCGATTTTAACAGTTCTCCAGCCATTGTGAAGAAAATATCTGTGATATTCCTAATATTTATCAGATCACCATTGAGTCAGTTCAGTGTCAGCATCTTTTTTTAATGAATGTCCTGCTCAACTTCTGATATTCTAAACACCACCTCTCCTCCCCCCAGGGTTGAGCCGCATCCTCTTCCATCTTCAGAGTTTTAGAAACACTTGTTGAAAATGTGAAATTGCACTTATCTTAAGGAAGTTCATACTGCGGAGCTTCCGAGAAGCAAAGCTTTAACTTCCGAAATGAAATCCTTAACACGAGTCTTATTTTTGTTTTGGGCTTTTTTAAAAGTTCATAGAGACAACTGAGTTCCAAGCTAACTAAATACAAGTGCCGTCACTTTAAAATGAGCCCTTTGCCCCTAAGACAGAATTCACAGAAAAGTCACATTACGGAAAAGTAGCCACGGGCACCTCTGATGAACATAATTCCTATGGACACTGAGGCCGTGGTCCCAAAACAAGATTACTACATCTCAGGCTCGGTGCCAAATTCAGGGACGCCTCGAGAGTGCCCTTCCTTTGAAGATTCAAGGCGACCCAATACACAGCCGTCGTCTCACAACCCCTAAGACATAAAACTGAAGAGAATTTAGCACTTTCCCAAGCTGGGGGAGGGGGTGTCTGAGAACCGACACGCATTTAAATTAACAAAAAGAAATAAATAGAAGCAAAACCGAGATTCAGGAGGAAGCCGCGCCGTTGCGCGCACCGCTCGCTCGCTAGCTCGGGCTGCTCGGAGCCCGGCGCAGCCTCGCGGACCTCACCTTCCATGTCGCCGGCCGCGGGTGGCTCGGCTGCAGCTGTCGCTCAGGCTCCGCGGCCGCTCCACGTGCTCCTGCCGTGGGGACCCGCGCGGCTGGCGGGAGATTCCCGGCGCGGGGTGGCCCGGGGATGGCTCGGCGGCGGCGGTCGGCGCAGCTGCAGTTCGGGAGCCGGCCAGCAGCCGGTGCGCGGGGTTACAGCGGCGCTGGCTGGCCGCCGCTTTAAAGCACGCCCGGAGCGCCCGCGGGTTCCGCACCCTCAACCCACTTTTGAATGTCAAGCCTGAGGAACCCTGATCGTGTGGAAACAGTGCCTCAGTGATGGTCTCTGGACCGCTACTTCAAACACACCAAGGAGGAGGGCGCTGTCGCAGGGAGAGCGGTGTGAGCAAACCCAACTTCCAGATTCGCCCGACGCGGACTGATCGGGAACTTTTCATCTAGACTCTGGAGATGAGAGTCATGAAAACTGTCCATGAGAATTCACTTTATTGAGTTATTTGTGGAGGTTTTCCCCCACCCTGGGGTTTTTTCATTTCAGATGGAGTAGCCCGCCACTGTGATCCCAGCATTTGAGAGGCTGAGGCAGGAGGATTGCCACGAAGTCCATCCAGGCCAGTCTGGGCTACAGTATGAGTCTTTTTCTCAGAAAACAAAACTTTAAAAGTCCTTGGCCCAGATTTACAGAGATAATTCAAAAGTACCTCGGCATTTACAGCACTCCGGCTGTTTCACTTGAGGGGACCACGCTCTCATTTTGCTATCCTTTCTGAGAACTGGTTGATTTACCACTGCTCAAAAAAGACATCTCTACATATGTGTTCATTTCCTACGAATCTTCTTTCTTCTAAATATGACACTTTACAAAAATACACATATGATGTGTCAGAAAAGTAAAGAGTGGAGCTATGTGGGGTAGCTGAAGTAAATCTAGGGGAGGTGTTGGCTCACAGAGACCTATCAGTCAACATCATTTCCCATCATCTGCACTTTAGAGAGGAAAACACTTGACTGGAGGAGGGGAAGGAGAAGTAACAACAAACAGTTTTTCAAAGCAGAGTGTTTCATCACCATCACACTGAAGCCTTAAGACATCGCTCTCAAATGGGCACATCGAGAGATGATGCCCAATGGTGTTGAAGGAATGATCCCACTTCCCCCTGTCATTCTCGCTAGAAAATTATATTGTTAATTATACAAATATATATATATGAAGCAGGTGTGGTGGCAAACCCTTTCGTCCCAGCATTCAGCACTCTTAGAGTTTTCAAGCCAGCCTGGTCTACAGATCAAATTCCAGGACAGCCAGGGGCTGCATAATAGAGAGATCCTATCTGAAAAAGACACACACACACACACACACACACACACACACACACACACACGTGTGAGATTTAAGGTTGAGGATTTGTACATCAGTTACCCATACCAAAAAAAATCATACTTGTGAGTTAAGCGAGCACACTGATGTTTTATGAACCTAAGTTCATGTTAACTGGTGCCTTGGTATAGGTAGTCTGCATTATACACACACACACACACACACACACACACACACACACACACACACTATGTTGTGGGAATTCTACGTTTATGCACATATGCATATACAACATATGAGTGGCTCGAACTGGCTTTGCAATCACAGAACCACAGCAGCATCGAGTTGGACATATGAGTTCGAGTTCTGCAGGAAAATATGGAGTTCAGAGAAATACTTTAAACACTAGTTTAATTTTAGTACTGAAAGGGGAAATTTGTTGTTTGTTAGTTTCTAAAAGCAAAAATAGCACATCAAAAGTAGCAGAAGAGGAACTGTAAACTTTCACAGGGATGATAAGGATGAATAGTTAATTGGTTGTTTAAAAGTTAGAAACTTTTGTGTTACATTGTTTAACACTTTGTGTTACAATGTTCTCTATATGTAACAGTAAACTGTTACCTGCTGTATGCGATTATTCCAGACTACAGATACTTGAAGGGATAAATAAAAATCAGATTATTTAGCTACTCCACCCTCAAGTAGGTGGAGCATAAATCTCCCCTCTGCATGTGTAAGGATCACATAGTGACATCCTTCCAAACAGTAAAGTAGGTAGAGGGAGGGGGTAACTTATAGTGGAAAAACCTGACAACCACCCCTTCAACCAGCTGAACACATTTAACATCAAAGATGCTAAAGCATGATATTAATATTATCACTGATATGACGTATTGGGAATGTCATTTTACAGCTGCTGTCCTCACAAAAATCCACAATACTATAATGAGAAAAAACATCAACAAAGTCCGGTAGAGAGGCTTTCCACAAAATACTTCCTCATTTAAGGCTAAGTCAGGATCATCAAAGCAGTCATAAACTGTCAAAGTCAACACCCCCCACCCCCAAAAAAATAAGAAGAAAAAGGAAAAATCTGAGACACTATCAATAACCCAGAGGAGCCTGGGAGACAAGACAAACATAATATGGAAGCCTGACTGTGTCTCTGGTCCAGCTGAACTAAGGTGAAAACTAAGAAAGTATGAATAAAGTATGAACTTTAATTAATAACACCGTGTCATGCCAGGCATAGAGAAAGATGCATGCCTTTAATCCCAGCACTTGGGAGGCAGAGGCAGGTGGATCTCTGTGAGTTCAAGGCCAGCCTGGTCTATAAGGCAAGTTTCTGGACAGCCAGAACTGTTATACAGAGAAACCCTGTCTCAAAAAAATAAATAAATAAAATAAAATAAAAAGACTGTTAGAGTATACATCTGTCTGAAGTATGAATATGTAATCATATTAGAATAGTAACTTGGATATCAGCACTATTGATTTATGTCTTGTATAAAATATGTCTCTTTCACTTCCTGAATTAGACATAAACCAGTCAAAACTAGATGTCAAGAATAAAGAAAATCAACATAGATTTCACAAGTGTGCCCACCTCATGTAGCTTTCCCAGAGAGTAATATAACAACTAAGATTATTTTTTCTAGGCTTGCTGAGCATTCTGCTACATGCCTTTAATTCCAGCACTCAGAAGGCAGAGGCAGGCAGATCTCTGTGAGGCCAGCCAAGGATACACAGATAGACCCTGTTCTCAAAAGTAAGCCAATAAACAAAAATTTTTAAGTACAAAGTTTATTTTAAAAAAATACACAGATACTTTCAATACACAGACCACTACTCTATTTTTATTAAAGTTTTATTTTTTAATTATGTGTATATGGGAGGGGTGGGGGATGTATAGGTGAATGCAAGTGTCCATGGAGTCCAGAAGAGGTCATTGGATCCCCTGGAGCTGGAGTTATAAGATTGTTGTAAGCTCTCCAACTGGGTACTGGAACTAGGGACCTCTGGAGAAGCAGAGAAACCCAACCACTGAGCTATCTCTCCTGCCCCACTATTCTATTTTTAAGACTTTTTTTTAAAAATAGCTTAAAAATTAAAAATTTCTTTTAAAAAATTTAAAAATTCTTAAAATTTTCATAGCAGTTGAAATTTAACACGTCAAGTTTGTAAGAATCCGTTGCAATAAGTGGGGAGTTATGAACACATTGTACATTTGGAAAATGCTTTGATTAAATCTGAAATGAGAGGTGTCTCAGCAGTTAAGAGCCCTGGCTGCACTTCCAGAGGACCCATGTTTGATTCCCAGCATCCAAAGACCGGCTCACAACCATCTTTAACTCCAGTTCCAGATCCAGCACCCTTTTCTGGCCTCGGTGGGCAGTGCATGCCTGTAGTGCACAGACAGACATGCACAGTTTTAACAGTTGAGACTAAACCATGAGTCTAGACGTAGTAACTGACAATGGGTGGATCTGACTCATTGACTCACATTTCACGCTTGTGCTATATAGATAAAATTAACAGTGACTAAAAATGAAATTACTGACAAAGGTTGCTCCTGGACCATCTGAGACAGTCCAAATACTGACTCGGCTCAAAGGAAATAAAACTGAAAACCCTTGATCTCACCCCAAATAACCATTCTGCACCCTATCTGAACCTTGGGCTCTCTTGCCTGCCAACCTACTCAAAACCACTACTGAGGCTGGTGTCCTACTGCTAAGAAATAAACAATACATGGGGCCTTTCAGGTCACCTAAACAGTAGTCAAGATGGGACCACGCACGATGGCGTTGACGATTCAGCTCAGTGAAGGTCCTGGGTTTGGTCCCAGCATGGGGCTGGGGGGAAGAACTTTGAAAGACTGTTTCAGACCTCCCTGATATTGCCTTATCTCACTTCAGCTGAGGAAAAGATCATTCGCTCTTGCCTTTTGGTGGGGCCCATTTTCTAAAGCAAAGTTACTTCCGAACAAATTTGCATAAGGGGATGTCCCTCTACCCCATCTCACACTCGAAGCTGAAAAATAAAGGTCCAACCTTCCTCCACGTGGGAAGGTCTCGGGGCACCCTTTTGGTGCACGGAAGGCTCTTCGAGATCTTGGTTTTGTATGCCAGAAGAACGCAGTGTGTGAAGCTTTGACAGATCCGGCGACGCTCACTAGCTTTTATGTCAGACCGGGGAGTTCCCGAGCTGGAACCCCGCTTTTAGGAAATTCTCACTAACTTCTCCCTTCTTCAGATCCCCGAGCGGATAGCATCCTCGGGCTGCTCGGCGCCACCACGGTCCTAGGGACCCACGGTGCTCTCGCGCCAGTTCCTTGAGCCCCTAGGCTGAGGAAGTCCCCGGGAGCCCTGCGCTCGCTTCCTTTACTCGCTCTGCACACGGCCAGGCCGCCTAGAGGTGGAGCGCGGGAACGTGGCACCCGACCCGAGGTGCGAAAAACTGTGCCGGTGCAGCGCCCCGCCACTGCGCGTGCGCCAGGGGGCGGGGGCTCGCCCTCCGCGCGCTCGCCCCGCCCCTCGCGCCGAGCCGGAACACGCAGGCGCCCTCGGGCGCAGCCGCCCCCGTGGTAGCCACGGACCGGTAGGGGCAATGCCCTCGGCGGTTTGCTTCGCTCTGTAGAGGAGCGATGGGGAGGCGTTGGGCCTGGCCTGAGGTAGGAGGGAACCCAG